ATTACACGGCCACTGTTGGCGTCATCGACGGTTGCCATGCGCGTTTTTACCCCAGCCTCTCTCTCTCTCTTTCCTTCTCTCTTGCTCTCGCTCTCTTTCTTGGGCCGTCTAGTTGTCTCTCTTTGCTTGAACCACCTTGTCGACGCGATGGATGAAAAAGAAAAAGTGAAAATATTAAAAAAAAACAAAAAGCAATATTCTGCTCCGTTTATGATCACAATCTGTAGGACAACGTAGACGTTGACATCTTCGTTGGCGCGCCAAGTTGACGACCGGCGAGGAGATTCACAAATCGTCGAAGGGAATTGACGATGTGCACCGATGATCCACCAACGGAAGGATCGGACATCACCAGAGAACTGTACAAATCACATATTTACCCATTCAAGCATTCACACATGAATACATTCACACAATTACATACAAACAAGCATTCAGAAGGACGAAGTAAAAAGCAAAACTTGATGGGTACTCAGTTGTTTGGAAGGATCGGACATCATCAGACGACTCTGTGAATCACATATTTACATATTCACGTATTCACACCTGCATACATTTACACAATCACATACAAACAAGCATTCAGAAGGATAAGTAAACTGCAAAACTTGATGGGTACTCAGTTGTTTGGAAGGATCAGACATCAGCAGACGATTATGTAAATCACATATTTACCCATTCACGTATTCACACCTGCATACGTTCACACAATCACATACAGACAAACATTCAGATGTGCACCGATGATCCACCAACGTTCCCCGTTTAAGATCAACTTTCAAGTTGAGCTTCGACAATCCATGCGTCGACGATCCATGCTGGCGCTTTACGTCGATGATATGAGCTGGTCCGTGTCGACGTTCCACGACTAAGATCGACATTACAGTTGCGCATCTACGATCATTCGCGTCAAAGATCGTCGTGGTGACGGTCTGAAATGAGTGTCCACATCGACGAAGACGATCCACGGAGATGAGTTGCCTGAAGATCCGAATCGTAAATCCACTTGGACGATTATCAACGCGCCATGTTGACGCTTAACGTGGAAGGTATGAGTGGATCTGTGCGTCAAACAGTTGCGATGATCATTCGTGTCGAAGAGCTCCGTCAACGATTCCCGTCGATGATCCGCAAAAAGGAAGATCCACTCCGACGTCTCGTTCATTAATTACATCCAACAGCCCCGCCGACGATCCACGCTGAGGATCTGTGCTGATAGTTTGCGATGCATAAACCATGTTGACAATCGACTAGGAACATCCTCATTGGCTATTCGTCTCGACGATTAGCGTCGCTATTCCACGAAGATCATTTGCATCCACAATTCGCGTCGATTCTTCACGTCGATTATTCGAACCAAAGTTACTCAATAACCGATGACGTCGTAGATCCATTTTGAAGATTTGCGTTGAATAGACTATCAACGTCAACGATCCATGTCAACGATCGGCGTTGAAGATTCACGTCAACGTTCCACGACTCAGTTAAACGTTGGTATTGAGCGTCGACGATATGCGCTGATTATTCGTGTTGAAGATCTGCGTCGACGAGTTGCGTTTACGATTCACGTCAACGATCGACTCCAGCCAAATCCGTGGAAGATCTACGTCAAAAAAGATGCATACAGCATCCATGGCAACTATTCTTGTCGAAGATCCACATCGGTGGTCTATGCTGACCGTTCATGTCGACGATTGTCATCAAGTATTCTCATCAAGATTTTGCATCGACGCTTCGCGTAGCCGATTGCTGTCTAGTAGTTTTGTTGACAATCAACCTCAACGATATGCGTCAACGATCTTCGTTGAAGATTCACGTCAACGTTCCACGAATCAGTTACATGATGGTATTGAGCGTCAACGATATGCGCTGATTATTCGTGTTCAAGATCTGCGTCGACGAGTTGCGTTGACAATTCACGTCGACGATCGACGCTATGGATGATCAACGTCAAAAAGATGCATATAGCAGCCATGGCAACTATCCTTCTCTAAGATCCACATTAGTGGTTTTTGTTGACCATTCATGCCGACGATTGTAATCAAGTATTCGCATCAACATTTCGCATCGATGCTCTGAGTTAAAAATTTACATTGGCGCTTCGCGTAGACGATTCCTGTCGAGTAGTTTCATTGACAATCAACCTAAACGATGTGCGTCAACGATCCTCGTTGAAGATTCACGTCGATGGCATGAGTCGAACCATGCCAATGTTCCACGATTCAGTTACACGTTGGTATTGAGCGTCAACAATATGCGCTGAATATTCGGGTTGAGGATCTGCTTCGACGAGTTGCGTTTGCAATTCACGTCGACAATCGACTCCAGCCAACTTCGTGGACGATCTACGACAAAAAAGATGCACACAGGAGCCATGGCAACTATTCTTGTCTAAGATCCACATCCGTGGTCTCTGTTGACCATTCATGCCGACGATTGCCATCAAGTATTCGCATCAACATTTCGCATCGATGCTCTGAGTCAATGGTTCACATGGACGCTTCGCGTCGACGATTCCTGTCTAGTAGTTTCGTTGACAATCAACCTCAACGATATGCGTCAACGATCCTCGTTGAAGATTCACGTCGATGGTATGAGTCGAACTATGTTAATGTTCCACGATTCAGTTACACGTTGGTATTGAGCGTCGACGATATGCACTGATTATTCGCGTTGAAGATCCGCTTCGACGAGTTGCGTTGACATTTTACTTTGACGATCGACGCCATGGACGATCAACGTCAAAAAGATGCATATACTAGCCATGGCAACTATTCTTGTCTAAGATCTACATCGGTGGTCTATGCTGATCATTCATGTCGACGATTGTCATCAAGTATTGGCATCAAAATTTCGCATCGATGATCTGAGTCAACGATCCACATTGACGCTTTGCGCAGACGATTCCTGTCCAGTAGTTTCGTTAACAATCAACCTCAACGATGTGCGTCAACGATCCATGTCGAAGAGCATCGTCGACCATTTGCAGCTACGATTTAAGTCAACGATATATGTGGAAGATCCGCATAAATGATCCATATCGACTATCCTTGCCTAAGATGTACGCTTTACCATTTCCATCCACGATTTGCGTCGATTGTTCGCCTCGAAGATCCACGATTACGATCCAATTTGATCACCCTTTGCAGTAACCATCTTCGTCGACGATAAACGTCGAAGATCTTCGTCAACGACTCCACTTTGTGATCCGCTTCGGCGATCCGCATCGACGATTTGCGCCGACAAATCACGTCGACAATCCCCGCCAACTATTCATGTCTAAGATCAACGTTGGTCTACGTTGACGTGGCACTTTGACGATTCGACAAAATGTCCGTTTGGAAAGATATGTTCTAAGAACCGCTTCGAAAATCTATTCGATTTTGCTTGACTTGACGCACAGAGTCTTTTATCAAGTCAACGAATAACGTCCAAGTGTCGCTTCGTGGCATTCATTTAACGGTCTTCGTTGATGTCATAATCTGCGTTGAGGCTCCAAGTTGACGAATAGTTGCGATGTCAACAGGAGTCAATAAGCCACGTCGACTATGCGTAAAGATGTGCCTGTGCAAGTAGTAAGCAAGACGAACGCTATGACGAACCAGCGGCGATAAGCAACGTTGTCTTGGCAAGTCGAAGGACTGTGGTGAAGACTTGCGTCGATGACTTGTCCTGATGATTCGCAGCGTTGAATGTTTGCCTTGACAACCGATAGTTTATCATCCACCCCAGGGAAGTATGTAGGAAAACAACGTTTGGCAAACTCATTTGTCCGCGATGACGGCTTTTCACTCGACGATGAGATAGAGTGACGAGGATCAAACTTAATGATCGAGGTTTACAAAAAAAATCGTCAAAATTGAAGGGATGCTTCGTAAAGATGTACAATAAAGATGAGTCATTCGGATACTAAGCGTCATTGGGATTAGTTGAGGAATTGCGTTGAAGATGAATGGGACGATGCATTTTGGGAAAAATGAAATGGAAAGTGGCGAAGATGATGAACGATGATGTAGAATATTGATGGTCCACTGGAATGATCTGCGTTGAAAAGGTGTTTCGACGAAAAGAGAAGAGGGTAATGGGCGAAAATCCGTTTGATGATCTGCGTTGGTGAAGAAATAGACAAAAATTGAATAAGACCATCGCGACGATGACGACCGAATGCGTAGAATGACGAAAATGAAATGTGACAATCTGTTTTGACATGATTTGAAAGTGAATCGCGTTCAGGCTGAATGTTGACGAGCAAATCTGAGAAGAAAATGGTCAAATTGAAGTGGGACGGCGTGAGGATGATGTACCGTTTTGTAAAACTTTGATGTGCCAATTGAACCATCTGCTTTCATCGAAGGTATGAACGACAAGATGGTGTGGCCTTTTGTGTGGCAGCAGTCTCCTTTCGTCGTGGAGCAGTTGTTTGACCTTGTCTTCGCAACTTGGTCATGTTGGTAGGACGACTTAGAAGAACTCAGCTTGTCCTGAATCTATTCTCTACATCATCATTTCCAGAGTAGGACCGTGCACGTGGTACATTCCCGGCATCGTCAGTCAGTCTCGTCATTCGTAGCACCATAGTACAACTCGTCAAAGAGAAAAGTGAAGCCCATCCTTTGACCAAACGTGTGCCCTGGCCTATTCACATTTCCCATATCCTCCTATCACACCTTCGCTGTCACAATTTTTACAGTGCCTATTTAGGTGTAGTGTGGTGTGATTTAGGCAATATGCAAAGTTTACGCTGATCCTGCCCTCTTCAAGTCTTCGGTTCATTAGATCTCTCTCGGTCAGTATTTCGGATCTTGCGTTTTCTCGTATTTTCACCACATACAGCCAACCTTTCTGACGATTTCCAGTCGATTTCATACCCCATTCGTGCAATGTGTTCCGCTATTTCTGATCTTTGTGCATCCATGTTCCTGCAGAGTCTTTGATGTTCCTTGATACGTAGGCCAATTTTTCTTCCCGTTTCACCAACATACTTCTGCTCACAGTTGTCGCATTTGATGCGATAAACTTCCGAGCATTCAAGTTTGTCAGTCTTCTCGTGTTGCGTCGGTAGATTGGGGAAAAGTGTCATCTTCTCCTTTGTTATCACCTTGCTATTCCATTTTCCTAATAAAGGTTGCAATTGTTGGCTCAGTTTTGATGAGGGCAAGCAGATCCACTTTTGCTTGTTATCCTGATTCCTGATCTGATTTTCATAAAATCCATTTTTTTCTATAAATGATCTGGGATATCCGTTACTAAGGCAAATTCGTGTCAGTTTGTCCAACTCCTCGTCCCAGAACTCATTGTCTGTTAGTCGTAGGCTTCTGATGATCAAACTAAACAGTATTCCGATCTGCCGAATGTAGTTATGATGGGACTGAAAATTAAGGATTATTCCCGCATATGATTTTAGGTTGGATCATCAGAAGCTCACGACTAACGGACAATGAGTTCTGGTACGAGTAGATAGACAAACTGATACGGATTTGCCATAATAACGGATATCCCAGAGCATTTATAGAAAAAAATGTGGAGATTATAAGGGCCGATTTCAAATTGGATTTTATGAAAATCAGATCAGGAATGAGGATGACAACCAGAAGTGGATTTGCCTGCCCTCGTCACAAATGAGCCAACAATTGCGACCGTTACTAAGGAAATGGAACATCAGGGTGATAAAAAAGGAGAAGAAGACACTTTTCAACAAATTTGCCGACGCAAAAAGAGAAGACTGACAAACGTGGATGCTCGGAAGTTTATCGCATCAAATGCGGCAACTGTGAGCAGAAGTATGTTGGTGAAACAGGAAGAAAAATCGGTCTACGAATCAGGGTACATCAAAGACTCTGCAGGAACATGGATACGAAAAGATCCGAAATAGCGTAACACATTGCACGAATGGGGTATGAAATCGTCAGTAAGGTTGACTGACCGAGAGAGATCTAATGAACCGGAGACTTGAAGAGGACAGGATCAGCGAAAACTTTGCATATTGCCTAGATTTGGCTAACAATAGACGTGTTTGATCATAAACGTGATCCGTGAATCACGACTATTGTTAGCCAACTAGCACAAGCTTCCATTGTTTTTATCATCTTACTATCTCTGATACCAACTCTATGACTTGTTGCGAAGACAAGTTCAAAAAACTTCTAAACTTTTTTGAGTTGATTTGAAAGAGAATTGCGTTTAGGCTGAACGTCTACGGCCAGATCGAGGATCAGATCGACGATTCTCTTTGAGAAGCAAATGGTAAAATTGAAATGGGCCAGCGTGATGTTAATGTACCGTTTTGTAAATCTTCGATGTGGCAATTTGACATACTGGTTGAACCTGCTTTGAAAGTGTATCTCGTACAGGATGAACGTCGACTTCCAGATCGAAGATATTCTTTGAAAAGAAAGTGATCAAATTGAAATGGGACGGCTTCAGGATTATGTACCGTTTTGTAAAACTTCGCTGTGATCATTTGACAATCTGTTTGAACTTGATTTAAACTGAATCGCGCTCAGGATGAACGTTGAAGAAGAGATCGACGATTGTCTTTGAGAATAAAATGATCAAATTGAAATGGGACGGAGTGAGGATGATGTACCATTTCGTAAATATTGAATCTTACAATTTGTCAATCTGTTTGAACTTGATTTGAAAGTGTATCTCGTTCAGGATGAACGTCGACGACCAGATCGACGATTGTCTTTGAGAATAAAATGATCAAATTGAAATGGGACGGCGTGAGGATGATGTACCGTTTTGTAAAACTTCGATTTGGCAATTTGACAATCTGGTTGAACTTGATTTGAAAGGGTATCTCGTTCAGGATGAACGTCGACGACCAGATCGACGATTGTCTTTGAGAATAAAATGATCAAATTGA